GGTCAGTCAAATCATCATGAAATTTGCAAGTGAAAATTCCAAATGTACTCTCTTATGAGAAGGCCTTGTCTCATCCATTTAACGGGCTGGGATTATCAAATATTTAATAGTGTCACTTGTGCATATTGACTGATCAGCATCCAGGCTAACCAGCTTGCAATAAGATAAACAAAAAACATTCCCATTAACTTTGCAGAGAGCTCTAATAGGCACTAAAAGTTAACTCTCGTATACCTGCTCAACAGCTCATTTGTTGACACTCCCTGAGGAACATCTGAAAGCCCACATTCCCAGTCTGATTTCCTGCTAGAATAGATGACTCTTCATTTGATTCCTGCATAACTGGGATGATATGACCCTTTGCCATGCTCCAGCATGGGAAGCACTTTAGGAATTAATTTGCAAAAAAAAATCCACAAGATATAACAAGTAATATACAGTAATGGCTGTACAACATTTATTCCATGGGAAAAACACAATAGGGAATGCATAGTGAAGATAGGAAAAAAAAAAAAAGAAATTTTGTCTGAGCATATGTTGGATGATGCTGTCAAAACTGTGCAAGCAAGGCCAAAACAATCATAAAGATATAGGGAGTATTTCTAATTTCTTGCAATCTGGAATTGCTGGAAGTGTATCGGCTTCATTTCCTTTTTCCAAAATTCTTGAGTCCACCATCATGAAATGTGTCTGTTTGACAATGGCAGAGTTTGATTTAGTAAATAAATTTGGCAATTTGCATGTCAGAAACACAGCTATTCCTGGCAGCCTTGAATCTCAACTGCAGAGCTAATTTAACTTTTTCCATATAGTTTGGAAAAATGGCTATTCTGGCTCATTCATAATATGAACAGCTTTCATAAAAAGACCTACACAACCTGTTTCGTATGTTGTGTAGTCATTAAAGGTCTTTTGACTTATTGCAAATGGTGACAGCATCACTTGTTATCTACATTTTTCATTTCTTTTTCTTGTGTCTCATTCTCATACCTACTGCGATCACAGTAAAGGGCATTGCCATGATGAAAGAATTCTTGGAACAACAAATACAGAGTATTTATTAATCCAAAAATGAAGGACAAATTAAAAAACATGAGCTAATAAGAAGTAGTTTCCCAATATGGGAGCCAAGTGTCATTGTTGTGCCTGTCAATCTGTACTTGGAGTTTGGAGTTTGTTCTGTGTGTGGTGTGCTATGGGCTGGACAAAATTAATAAATGGGGGTGGGCTGATTTTGAGGAGAGAAGCAGTTGGGACCCCAGAGGTCTTTGCTTTTGTAATCAGATTAGTAGAACTCAAAGGTAAGTGAGATAGAGCAGAATTTCCTTTGCTGATGAACTGCAGAACACGTGCTGGCCAACTAAACATGTGTAGCCATTTTCAAAAGAAGGATATTTACACATGAAGATGTTTACCCATGTCTGTCTACTTTCAATTCTGGACCTGTGTGTCCACTGCAACTGCTACCATACCAAAAACACAACCATGAGCAAGGAGCTGCTTTTTTTAGCATCCTTAAGCCTGTGCACTGCAGAAAGCAGCAGTAATAATCTTGACTGGTGGTCATAACAGTCTCAGTATACTACATTCAACAGAGCTCACATATGTAACTCCTGAAGTCCGGCACGTGTTCAGATGTATCATGGAAAACAATAAAAGAGTAAATTTTCAAATTAAATTAGTATTTTGCTAATCTAAGTTACTCAGGAAGATAGTCTGCAGTGAGATCACTTCATATGCCCTGAGGCATAGAAGAAACACATAGCTCTTGAACAGATATAATAGAGGGCTGACTTGGTTATGGACTAGGGTTATGTCACTGCCCAGGTCTAATAACAAATGTCTAACAAGTGTGTTCTTCTCTGATTTTCCTTACCTAATGGTCATTTACCCTATCATTGTCTAATTTCTATAGCACTATGCTTTCAGAAGCAATGTCCCGCCTTTTTTTCTGTTCCCAATTCTACACACAGAGATTGGGATGAAAAATTGGTACAGAAGAATTTGACTGAAGATAACTGCTGATAACAGTGCCGTTTGAAATATACCTCAATAGAGGGAGTTACCTGTTTTTAAAGCAGTTCTGTTCATACACCGTGAGACTGAGGTAGTGTTTAATACTTCATTGTGTTTGTCATGTTGAGGTGCCACAGAAGCCAAAATTTCAGTGTAATTTGGAGAAAATCAGCCTGTACTGCAAACTCCTGGTTAGCTAGATCACAGCTGGATGGTGATAATATTTTGGTATCTTTGCTATGGGGAACTCTTGTAGCATAAGCCAGCCAAGCTCCACTACCTTCTCAGCTGAGAACAGCAGAACTGAAAGTTTTTCAATGAACTGCTCTAGAGAAGAACAAGGTAGAAAAACTGAGGAACAGAAATAATGGAGCTGCTAAGCAAATCCATATTCAGGCCAGATAGCACCCTGCACTTGATCCTGCTTTTAAAAAGGATTCATGATCCTTAATTGCATCGGGTGGGGAGTGCTGCCTGCTAACTGGGGCAGGGCCTCAAACTCTGGGGACTGTAAGCTCAACTTTTCTCCAACATTGGGACATTAGGCAACCTATCATTCACACCTTGTATTCCTTTGCTGCAGCTTTAAAGTGGGAAATCACAACTAGGGAGAAACAAGATATGGAATCATCTTATATTACAGCATAATTGCACTTCTGCAGTTCCATTCAACAGGGAATCCCATAGCAATACTGAGTCTCCTCTGAAGCCCATGGTCCTGCTGGGTGGTTGTGTTTTGGTTTTTTCTCCATGATCCACATCATCTTTCATCCTCCCTGTTCTTAGCTCTACTTATTGCATACTGCATTGTAAACATGTATTTTAATATGGCAAACACCCACATTCACGGAAGACATTTTTCAGCATAATGAGTTCCCTTAAACTTGTCCTGTGCACTTTCCAGGATGACTATCACGTTAGTCTATATGTTACTACCAGTTTGACAAACACCACTAAAGTTAGGAGACAGTGCAAGTTAAAGATTGATAAACCCACACCACAAAATTTCAACCTGACCTGTCACACTGGGGATCTGAATTTACTTCTCATAAGCCCCACCAATCTATGAAAACCCTGCTCTGTCTCTGCCTTGGACTGATGGTGAGATGAAAACCAACTGGCTAGCAACCTAAAATTTCTTAAAGATAGAATAAAATGGCAAGCATTGTGTGGTTTGTGCAGAATACAGGCAGGTAACTGTCAAGGAGCTCTTTTTTTTTCTTTTTCTTTTCCTGTGGCTTGGGTTTTGCAAGCAAAGAGCTTTCTATTCAGCTAGCCTTGAAAGCACAAGCGCTGCCTGGAATTCCTCCCAAGGATGTGAAGCCAAACTATAGCAGAAACTGGGGAAGGAGAGGTGTAGATTGTGGAAATGCAAAAAAGAGTTGAGGGAAATTCTAAGAATCAGAGCATACTTCAACACGGTGAACTTTTCAAGAACACTGGCAGAAAAAAGGAAGGAAGGAGATATGAAAACACAGTTTGGCAGATAACTCAGTCCACACCCTCCTACATAACAGGGCCTTTTTGTAGAGGAAGTAATTTTCAACTGTTACTGATACCAGCCTTAGCAGCTTGTCAGACAGGTTGCCAGTTACCTGAAGGCTGATGACAAAACAATTTCTTCTGCAGAAACATACAAAATTATATTTCCAAACTTGCAGCAGGTTAGGGAAGGTCCTGCATGCAGTAACAACTGTGTGCTGATAGCCCACATGCTTCAACACACTCAGCATGCCCATCTGTACAAACATGGTAGACAGCATGACTCTCTTCTGGACTTAAAAATACATGTTAAAAACATTTTCACTAAAGCTCATGCCCTCTCCCTCTAGATTACATCTGGCTGAACCAAAACAAGCAGAATTACAATCTAGGTTTACAAAATACTAAGTAGTATGAGACAGGAACTGTACTTAACAACAGCTGCTTTCTAAGAGGCTACAAGACATTAATTAGCTGCTACTGCTCTCTGCAGCCTTCCTCTGCCTAGCTTGGGAGGACACAGCTACAGAAGAACAGCAGCAATAGGCCAGAATCATGCTCTACAGTAGGTTGCTACCTGGGATCTAGACAGAAGTGAGCCATGATCCAGTCAACCTTCTTTTCCCTTTATCAGCCTCACAAATGATGGTTGGAAAAAATAAACAAGTCTAATAACATTGAGCAATTAAATAGCAGTTGATAAATAAAGATGCTGAAAATAAAGTCTGACCAGTCAAAATGAATACATGCTACAAAGCTGTTACTGAGATGTAGTAAGCAGTTAATAACAATTATAAATAATAATGTACTCAACTAAAACCAATAGCCTCTCCAATCCCACCTTCCGCTCCTCAGCGATCCATAGTGGACTGAGTTTAAGAGGATATTCCTCAATCACCTTCAGAAGAGGACATTAACTTACACCATGTGCTCCTCTTTACCCCTGTCCATACATGTCCTGAACATAACATTAGACTCTGGGGCTGTTTATTCATGAATTTTCACTCCTTCCCACTTCATGTGTTCTCCTGGTTGCAAGAGCTTTCAGCTTAAAAAAATCCCTTCCTGACAAGTTGGATAGTTTTCATGGCAAGTGTCCATGGTCCCTCTGAGTTATTAACAGTCCCACACACAGCCTCACTTCTCTTCCCCTCCCCCCAGTCCTCACAGTGGCCCATTATGCTAAATCACACTGATCCAAAAACGGGAGCTGAAGGAGACACTCTGAAATAGGCTAGAAAAACTCTACTGTGGTATGGCCCATAAAAGGACAGCTTTTTTAAGCATTTGTGTCTCTGCTAAATAATTTCTGAGGTTCCACATTTAAATTCCCTCTCCAAGAGCTGGAGTCTGCCCTATGAGGAGCTCACTAAAACTGAGGTAATGAAGGGTATGATCAGTTTTCTGAGGGTGCTGTGACCTAGAGGCAGGTCTGATTACATCATTTGTTTTGGGTTGAGCCTCAGGAGCTTTATAAAAAGCAGTCTTAAAAGGAAGGAGAGAGACAAGGGGAGAGAAGGGCAATAACTCATTAGCAGAAGCTCTGTGTGCATTCTGCTATTTGCTACATATCTACAAGGGAGTTTCTTCAGAGTGCAAGGAACCTGTGAACTGTCGGAATATTATAAGTCTTTCCTTGAGATGTCAGCCAAGAGCTTCAGTATAGTCACAGTCACTACTGTGCTTATTTTCTTCCTAAAGATACAACTCTCAATGCAAGCGCCGTTGAATGGTAAAGTCTTTCAGCTTTCTATTTTATTGTCACTTGTAACTTGGGGCAGCTAATATATGCAGAAAACTGGCATCTTTTAGTCATTACTATTTCAATAGCATGCTCAAAGCTGTATATTGTTGCAATCTGCAGTTCTTTGGAGTTAGTATCCTTATTTCAATTTCTCAGAATAGGCATTCTGATACATATAGGAAAAAGAAATTTGTGCTCTGATTTAATATGCGTTACAGACTTCGTGCATGGTCAGTATGCCTTGCTTTGTGATCTTTTTGTTTCTCATAGAATGAAGCAGAGACTGGCCCTTCTCAGAGTTAGTGGAAGCATCACACCTTTCCCTCTGCCCTGTTTATTTTTAAACCAGAGGAAAAGAATGCAATCCCTGTGAAGCAGCCCATATACTAGACCTCATTCTCTTATATTTAACAGGACCAGTTTCAGGAGGTCAGCCCTCACTCTCTTTTTAGGAGTTAGTGTTCATCTATTCAAGCTGATTATAATCAATTTTCATCCATTCTAGCTAATTATAATCCACCTAGTGTTATTACAGGATATGAGGGATAATCATTGTAAAGTGTTGTGTAAGAGGACTTACTCAGCACATGTATTCATGGGATGAAAATCCTGAAGGCTCAAGCGTAATCCAGAGCTGTCAGTTTCATAAACAGCTCTGCCAAGACAAGCATTTTACCAGGTTTTTCACAAGAGCTACATAAGGGGCGGAATTCAAACTTTTAAGGTCACCTTCTTATTTTGGGCACATATCATCTGAAAAATGGCTATATTCTGTAGCAGAATCTCCCACTTGAACGGCAGAGTTTCCTAGAGCTTTGTGCTTTCCAGGTGCTTTCTCTGACAACACAGAAGCTTTGGAAGTGAAAGGATGTGTCGAAAACATATGTCTTACAGTATGTCCTGAAGGGAATGCTGGAGAATTTCTATCTTAGAATTAGATGCTCAAGTACCAAGAAATGGCAAGAGCTACAGCATCTGCCTGTCTCTGACGTCTACCCAAGTCAGAGACACAACTAACGTAGATTGTCGTAACTAAAACCATTCCCACTTTCCCAGCTCCCAACTGACATTGGAAACATATTTGTACCCTGGATATTGACCAGTGAAACACAGATACACTGGCTCTAGGACCCTCCTCTGCCATGGGTGGACGTGTATCTGTATTACACAGAAGCACTCACCCCAACATGAACAAAGAGGCAGGAGAGTGCTCACAGGTACGGAGCTGTTGCTAGTTCCCTTCTAGATGTGAATCAGACACTCTCTTGATTCTCCTCCAATTTTGGGAGACTGTGTGACAGTCTGCCTCATCCTTATTTCATTATCAAGCAGAATAAGGCTAATAACCTTGCTGATAGTCTGAGGATGGCAGCAAATCACTTTTGCAGCTCTACATGTTCATTCAGACAAAATCAAGAAGATTCTGCCATCTAGTAATCTATTCATCTCCTGATCTAAGTTAGATGAAATAAGTGTTAAATGGGCCTCAGCCCTACCTACACTAGTTGCTGTTATTGTGCTCATCAGTAAAGTCATAATGGTAGTGAATTGCAGATCATCAAAATGCTCACAGGCTAAGGAACATTTCACCTGGCAAAAGACTTTAAGCTTTCATTTATTTTTGTTTTGATTGGCACAAACACCCAAAATATTGAAAATCTTCGAAATTGACCATTTTAAGGTTGTTCTAGATTATAAAAATCATAGTTTTGACACTTTGTACACATTTTAATGGGCAGTAGGAGCATGAGCAGAAAGTAGCTATTGTAGTTAACCCAGTATTTCTTCAAACCCTACTCAGTTGAGGATGTGGCAATTTCTGAAACCTGTTGACAATCAGTTGCTATCTTCATGCAAGTTTTCCCTACAGAAGGTGCTGACCAGAGGACACAAGCACCCCCAAAAAAACTCAGTAAGAGATAATCCCCTGCAGAGAGAAGGGGAGTTGAGAATGAAGTTTCTCATCTTGAAATCTAAGACAGTACACAAATTCTTCTATGCAAGGAACCTGGGGACTTCAGCCAGGATGATTATACAGACCTCGTTTTGAAAATTCCAGTGTAAAAGAACAAGGCATACTGGTCCTAATGAACTGGAAGCAGAGAGCTTAGTGTTCCCAGCATATATCAATACAAAAGAGCTAAGTGCAGCTGTTTTGCACATCCTTACAAATTAATCCCAAACATTTCACACAGTATTCTTTGGAGAAGAGCTGTATCTGTGACCACGCTTCAGAGTACAAGAAATGCAGCCAAGAATCATGTACTGAGCAGACATATGTATGTAAGAATAAATATTTGCATGCATGCATGCATGCACACTGAGTGTTTGCAAGACTTGTAACTCAGGACTGTTTTCTAAGCAGAAATAAAATTAAATTTGCGGAGAGTAAAGATTTGCATTAGCCTGATAACCAGAACTGTTCAGGTCTGTCAGGACAAGCACCTGGAATTACACAACAAGCTGAATGACTGTAAGTAGGTTTCAGGACCGAAAAAAAAAAAAATTAAAAAGAGTATTTAATAAGTCAAGACATTTCCAAAGACATGCAGAGACACTGTCTCAAATTCAGTTCCTTAAGCAATGGATGAATATTGATCATTTTAACACTCACTCAACCCCTCCAGGATACCCTGAGTTATATGGGTTTGTGTATCATACTCCCTTTTTTCAAAGTCCATCTATTCCTATCTGTTTTCAGTTGGCAAATCCCAGACCCACTGTACAGAAATGACTGTCCATCATTTCTCAGTGTAGCAATGGCAATCCACTGATGTTTTTCAAATTCCTCAACTAGGCACAAGGTGGTTCATTATAGCTACACTCCATTTATATTCCTTAGTTTCCTAACCAGAAAAAAATCTGCGATGTACCTACGTAGAGAGTCTGTGGCTATTAAAAAAAACCCAACAAACCAAAACCTGACAAAAGTTTCGCTCCAGGATTTAAGTGACCACAAGAAAGCCACCTCTATGGGCAGGATCACAGGGATAATTATAATTTGGGTGAGAAGGGTTCATAATCTTTGAAAGAGTCTATGTTTTGTTCAACATCTGGGAAAGACAGATAAAAGTATTGCAAAATTCAGTACATGGGTTTAAGTGGCAATTTGTTTCTTTACAGATCAAGATCAATTTCAGATATTCACAGTAATATTTCTTTTGTCTTTAAACAGGGTCAAAATGGTCTTATATTGGTAAGTACTAACTAACTTGTACATACTAAGTTGTGGCTTTGTTCTGTATTTTAAGAACAACATGCCAAACGTATTCTGGTGAGAACCTACTAGGTTCACTATCTTTACCCAGGTTTGGATCTGGCCTGTTGTCTTGAAATCTGCTATGCATCCATCACGTTTCATACCTGGGTTTCTGGGTTCTAAATTGCCTTGCAGAATGACAGGAACTTCAGCAGACTAAGATTGGCCCTACAACTGCAGATGTTCCCCAAAGCCCTGTTTCCCCACCAGTCACAGACCAGCAGCACATTTCAGCCTAGTTCTGCGAAGAGCATATCTCTCCCCACCCACATGGGTCTTCAGTTTTAAGTAGAGTCAGAGTTCAGCAAGTCACCTGTATTGTGTTACTGGAGACTTAGCTCCCTGAAAATCCCAGCACTGACAAGGTAGAATAAATCATATTCAGGAGAGCAGTGTTATTTTGTATACTAATCCTCTAAGTCAGCTACTAACCCAGAAGGATCTGATGGCTGCTCAGGAAGAATAATTATCTAGAGATTTTCTTTTAATTGATCAAATCCTCTGGCCAGTTATTTCCTCATTCAGAGTAGTGTTTTATATGCCACGTGCCCACAGAGAAGTAGGCAGTACTGAGAATCTCAGCAAAAAATGCTTCGTCTTAAGCCTTTGGTGCTGTTCCAAGACAACACAAAGAACCTCTGAGATTGAACTCGCTGCTAGTAACTACTCCCTTTGGCTGTGCTCCAGTTTACCTGACTTGCTTCACATAAGCAAAAGGAAAACTGTCAGCTGCATGTTTATAGGTATTAATGTAACTGCCAGTATGCACACATATACTTCACATCCTCATTAGGGGAAAAAAGCTTCGCACAGTTTGAATAACAAAAGCCTGCGTTTTCCACCTTGACAGCAGCCATCAGATGAACCTAACCCTGCTGGGTAGTAAGGAAAGCAAGACTTCTTTTACTACCATCAAAGTAGAAGTTTTACCCTCCTTCCCAGTGTGATGCTTGTTTAAATTAGTTACTTCTCCCTTTCTGGGAATTTGGGTACCAGTGTTTATTTCAGAGTATGTTAATCTTAATGCCCAACTTCATCAGTTCCTATTAAGTACTTCCATATTACAGCCTGATTTCTAGCATGTACAGGAGGATAGAGGGAAGGTTCACAAAACAGATTCTTATTTTTTTCCTTCAGCTACTGATTTTCAAATATATCTAGAAAAACATAAAAAACCAACTTCAAAAAAATTAAAGTGGCAACTGAACTTGTACAGAATAGCTCTTTTCATATACCTGGAAAAAAGCAGAGGTAGAACATTGGTCTGCACAGAGAAAAACAGCGATTAGAGAGACTGCAGTCAGCCAGAAAAGAGCCTCTCCGTACTCTCCTGCTGATCCTGGTTCCTTACAGCAGCCTACACCTTCCACCATTTACCTTTAACCCTGCAACACTTTGCAATGCCTCCCACTAAAATTAAGTCAACAGGACAGGAAAGGAAGTCAAGCCATTGTCATCCCAGCGCAGACTGATGTCAAGATGAGGGTCAAGGTACAAGATTAAGGGTGGAGGAGAAATCCGGGTGCTGGTTGTCAATCAAAGTTCTCTTTGTTAAGTACAACGATATGTAAAACTGAATGTTGATACAGCTCAGGGCATGGTGGCAAAGCAAGATGACACTGCATGTGATCAGGCCTTATCTCTTCAGTGCAAGCTTTCCAAAGGAATGAGCATTTGGCTTAGCTATAATGGAAACTACTGCTTGTCATGGTTTAACCCCAGCCAGCAACTAAGCACCATGCAGCTGCTCACTCACTTACCTCCCACCCAGTGGGATGGGGGAGAAAATGGGGAAAAGAAAGTAAAACTTGTGGGTTGAGATAAGAACAGTTTAAAAGGACAGAGAAGAAGAAACTAATAATGATAACACTAATAAAATGACAACAGTAATAATAAAAGGATTGGAATATACAATGAAATTGCTCACCACCTGCTGACCAATGCCCAGTTAATCCCCGAGCGGCGATCCCCCCACCCCCACTGCTCCTAGTTTATATACTAGATGGGACGTCACACGGTATGGAATACCCCGTTGGCCAGTTTGGGTCAGCTGCCCTGGCTGTGTCCTGTGCCAACTTCTTGTGCCCCTCCAGCCTTCTTGCTGGCTGGGCATGAGCAGTTGAAAAATCCTTGACTTGAGACTAAACATTACTTAGCAACAACTGAAAACATCAGTGTTATCAACATTCTTCTCATACCAAACTCAAAAACATAGCACTATACCAGCTACTAGGAAGACAATTAACTCTATCTCGGCTGAAACCAGGACACTGCTTCAGATACAATAAAGGCTAAACCTCTCCTCTATTTGCCTCTTCCTTAGCCAAACTGTAGCAATGCTATTTGTTCTTCCTGATTTCACTACTGTTGTATATAGCCCAAGAAAAAGTGCCTGGAAGAAACAGCACAGGCCAGTGAGCTGGGGCATGAGCCCTCAGCCACTTCTGACACAGGCTTGCTTTGTGTCCTCTGATGGGCTGCTTCACCTTCTGTAAAATGGACAAAGTAGATGAAGTGTATAATGAGAAAAGTGTTTTCAGTTAAATAACTAAAAGGATTGTTGCCCCATAGCTCAGGATAGCACATGCATGCAGCTTTTGGCAATGTTGCTGTGTGGCTGGAAAGTGCGGGCCTGAAATCCTCTGCCCCAGAAGTAAATTGGTAGAATTGGAGATCTGGGCTTCAATTCTTCAGATTCTGGCTTTCTGCTTCTGTAATGTAAGAGGGCTGGAATGAAATCAAAGAACCAGAATCACTCCTTGAGAGTGGACAAGCAGCTACAACGGAGGAAACTAGCTTTACAGCCAAGTTTAAATTAATAGAGCCAACAGAATTATTAATGTGCTTTAGCATGTGAGGGGACAACTTCACACTACAATGTAGACACAACTGTTGTAACAGACCTCAGGCTAATTGAACTTGCAAACTCCTTAGTTTTACTGTTGCCAAATACTCCAATGCAGTGAGGTGCTGAGAACTTGTGCTAAGACCCCTCCACTTCCCCTTAGGAAATGCCAGCTTTAGTGAACGCACTAGAACATGCCCAAAATTTCTCATACAGCACTTGAATGGAGTAGCAGGGACAGCTACAGCCCTTGGCAATTCCTCTATCTCACAAGCTTCCCTCTGGACACATATGTGAGAGATACACACATATTGGATATGTGTACACAGAATGGTATGACTGAGCTCCGCCTGTGCTCTGAGCGAAATGGAAACCATGGGGTCATGTTACTGTGGCAGGGAGCCTGGACTCTCAGCCTTCACTGCTAACTCAGCCCTGGGCTAACAGCAGCTATAAAGCTTCCAGCTGGCTGAAAACAGGGCAGAGTGCTCTGCCTGGCTGCAAAAATACCACAGACATTCCCCATGTTACTGACCCAATGCATTTTACTACATTAGTTTTCTTCAGATCAAGAGAACTTCGACACCCTGTGAAAAGCTCAAGCAACATGAATATTAAGGTCATAAGAGCAAAAGTCTGTTGGTAACAGCGGTGTCTTATAGGCCTGTTTTCTTCTTTTTTTAAGTCAGCCAATGTACACATGCTGGGAGCAGACACCATGGTTGTTCTTAAAGGAACATCTGTCCTGCATGACCCAGCAGCACTAGAGCTGCAAGGTTGGCTGAAGGCGTAGGCACAGAAAGCTAAAAGCTGCCAAAGGAGATGATACAATGGATGCATGCAGCCATGGTGCTGAGGGTATTTTGCTCAGCTCACTGTGCAGCTGGGCAGCAAGACTATCCAAAGAATTATTACTACTTTATTTACAGACATCTTTTATAAAATAGCCATGAGGGCACAGTCAGGTTTAGGGTTATTTATAGCGTGGTAGGGGAACATGGTCCTGGAAACTCATGTACAAGAAAGCAGCCCACAAGCTGGATTTGAGCAACCTGAGAGTGTTCATGGCTGCACTGGGTGCAGTGGTAGCAGGAGGGGCCCTACTTCCACCCATACCAACAGCTCCGTACCTTAATTTGCTTGCTCCAACAGCTGAATAGTAGTGTTGGGTGCGTAGGACAGGCCCATGGCACAATTACTGCTCTGCTGACACAGTCCTGATGGGAACCTCATAGCAGCAAACATCATCTGAAATGCCTGGGTTGTTCCCTTTGTCACAAACGTTGTCACAAAAGAAGGGTATTAACTACTAAGATATTTTTGCAATATTTCTTATGTTAATACTTTTTGGGACTTGTAGTACAGGGCAATCTTAATACATCCACATGCTAGTCTTTATTCAGTAGTGATCAGACAGAGCCTTTGTAAACATAATGTGATTTCCACTGAATTTATCTGAATGTGCTGGCACAGAAAAAGGAAAATCTGGTTCACAATCAATCATTCATTTTCAACAGAGCTAGCTGAGAAATGCCTTCCAGCTGTGTGGTTTATCTACCACGGAAATCTCAATTTCACATATGCAAACCCAAGCTGCAGTGAGCTCAGCTCTTTGAGACAGGAGTTTTGAGGCACTGAAATTAGGAAGACTACGTGACAAAAGGCAGAGTTTCTAGAAAAACTGGTTTTGTACCAAAAAAGACTTTTTGTTTGGCTTGCGTGGTTTTTTTTTTAATTGAGCAGGAATGAGAAGCAAAAACTGCTGTAGCTTAGAGGCCTGTGAGTGGAGTTGCAGATTTATGTCAAGGAAAGGGTAACTGCTAATAAAGATCAAGGTACATAAAGCCTGCAATAACTACAGCATTTTATAGAAAAGACAAAAGTTTCCCTTCTGAACTGCTGATGTTGGTGTGGAAGTTCCCATACCCTGTTGCCAGCTCTTAAGGGCATTCAATTCATCCAAACATAGTACTGAAAAAGTGAGTGGTACTTCATGACATGGTTTCCACTGGCTGGGACTAGACTTCTATTTTATGCACCAATTAAAAATTATTTATTTAATTATCAAGTCTCCAAACCTACAATATGTAATATATTGACATCTTCTGGCAAACTCACTATCTTATCAGCGCGTGGAAACCCCAAGCCTTTTAAAATTACTGAAGTCTTTTTACAATAAAGGTTTCTCAGCAATTTTTTCTGACACTGCTGTAGTCTTAGCTCCCCGGAAAGTGTTAAATTTCAGTGTCATTGACTTGCACATCAAGTTTCAACCTCAAGAAACTATCATTTCCTGGTATATCCTGATATATATTTTTCTGGGAAATGTTCTTGAATATGTATATCCCATAGTGTGGAATTTATGCTCCTCTGGATGGATTTGTTATTTGCCAAAAACTATGCAGATGACAGTATACAGTCTTCTATAATGTCAGCATAACATGTATTAGCTTTTAAAATTAATTTCAATTTCAATAACTTTAAGATAGTACCATGAAGATCTAAGAGGAGAGAAATTAATGTGATTGGCAGCAAACTGGAGTCAAAGATTTATGTTACAGCAACATCAAGGCCTATTTATACTGGAAAGCACTGACTGAGTCTGAGTATCCACACTGCAAACAATACCATGTGCTAACCTATGTCTTGAATAATCTTGAAGAGCTTTAACAAGGAAGTAAGGCTCTCTTTGAGCATCAGAACTGAACTTGTCAATTCTGTCACATGCACTATGTTTAAATCACATTCACCTCCACTGTCCATATCCTTGGAAACTGTCTTTCACGTTAAAAAGTGAGTCTCTAATAATATTCTCCTGATTGTTAATTTCCCTTCAGAAAAGATCTGAACTTGCTTTGCAACTGATGACCTGATCTAACATTAGATTCTGGCATTCACGATTCATGGAAGATGTTAACACACTGGAGAGACTTCAAAGAAGCCACAAGGAACATTATAGGTTTGGAAAAGCAGCCTTCTAACCAAAGACTCAAGGAACTCAATCTATTTAGTTTAAGAGAATTGAGAAACTATGTCCTCTATTTATAAATACTTTAATGAGGAACAGAAGTATGCTAACAGGAGGCTCTTCAATTTCTAAGCAAAGGATTAAAAGCAATCACTATCTAAACGAAGTCAAAGCTAGACAAACTCACAGTGAAAAGCAAGCTACCGAGGAGAGTAATTATCCATTGGGCACTAATGAAGTATCTTTTACCTGCAATGCTTAAAGGCAGAGTAGATTTTTTTTTCCTTCTGAAAGATACGGCCTCATTGAAGTAGAAATTAATCCAGGGAGGTCCAATGGCTTGTGTTATACAGATCAGGCTGGGTGATCCCAAAAGACCTTCCTGCCTTAGAAAGAATTATCATGAATCTTCAGAGTAAAGAAGAAACACAAGTTGCAAGTACCTCTTTTAGTATTTAAATCCAAATGGTCTCAGCTTACAGCTTGTAAACAGCTGCTAGCTATTAATCTGTAATTAAATCAAAGGCACAATTAAAAATCTCTTGATATTATCTATTCTTTGTAGATCCTACCTAGGGCAAAAGACTGTGATGAAGAAAAGTTTCACCAGAGTTTGAGCAAGTTATTGCAGGTCAAATTGTCATAACACCTTCCATTTTTGCAAGTTAGCTTTTCACTGTGCATTATGCAACATGACTAGATAGAGCCAGACAGTTTGTATGGTAAGGGAATTTTATAAGGGTCTGGCTTTCTATGTACTGAAAAGTATGGAAACTTTCTTCTGTCAACATGAAGTCACTTCTTTCAGCAATTCTCTTCAGAAGGCTGGAATAGCTGCATTACTGTGCATATGCCTGTTACTTCCATAGGGAAAAGTCATTCATGTCAGTAAATAATCCAAATACTGTCACAGATCCAAACTCTACTCGTCACACTTGTGCACTCTGAAGAGAGACAATACCATCATGAGAGGGTCAGAGGCACTGTGGCTGGCTGTGGTGCTGCTGCCTGCAGGCCTAACCTGGTGAGCTACCAGGCCTGCAGTTCCCCAAGAGTGTAACATCAACAGCAGTTGAGATTGTAAAAAAATAGAGGGGTGGTAGAGTGTCTCTATGTGAGATTTTTATTGGCATTTGGCCCTTTTCTATCTAATGGCACACTGGAAAGATGAAATTAAGTTTAAAAAAAAAAAGTCTTAAAAATTCAGAAAAGGCTCCTTTTCCAAATTTTGGGTGAAGGCTGAAACAGGGGAGTTTTTATATTAATTGCATAGTTAAGGCTTGACAAATGTGTCTCTTTGTTAATTTACACAGGTCCTGATGGAGAGAAGGCCTGGCCAAAGAAATACCCATTTTGTGGAGGAGTATTCCAGTCGCCAATAGATTTCCACAAAGATATTCTCCAGTATGATTCTAATCTCTTGCCTTTAGAATTCATAGGCTATAATGTGCCCTCCACTGACCAGTTTACATTGACCAATAATGGTCATTCAGGTAAGGAAGGTCAATGACAGCAAGGGATTGTGAAGGAAAGAGTTGCTGGAGCTCATCATTTTTTATTTCATGGGTGAACTACTTTGATTATCAAATGAAATTAAACTTTCATGATGAAGCCTTCACATCAGCATACCTACATCTAGAGAACAGGCTAGGGAAACTTGGGAATGTACTAAAGTACAAATGGATTCGCAGTAAGCCAAATTGACTATGGTTTTTAAATAAACTGTAGGCATGTCAGAATTAATTCCTGAGCTTTTCTTATTACTTTGGTTGGAGTGCTCCAAAACAGAAACAGACTTTGTGATTATGTTAAAAAAAGATGAACTGATAAAATATGGGTGCAATGGGTCTCTGACATTCCAGTCTAATCAAAGCTCAGCTGAATTATGGGGGCAAGGGGAGAGGGAAAAACAAAAATCTAGTAGCACCATTCTGTTCCTTTGACTTGAGATAGAAACCCTCTTTAGTGTAAGATAGTACAGATAGATAAAAAGACAGAAAAATAATTAGCAATAGCATTCAAACATGCCCTCCATCGTAGTACTAAACCAAAGGTCAGTACAGTAGGTAAACGCAGAGAAGATGCAGTCTCATAAAGGTCTACTATATTGACACAATATACAATACCAGCAATATAGTATCACCATTTTTTGTTCCTTCCTGAAACATTTGAAGACATAGAAATAAGAACAGTTATAAGGCCTTCCTTCTTTGTATCCTCCTCTGTTGCACAAGCATCAAAAGAACCTGTGTTATAAAATACTCTCTGCCTCTGGTCTTCTCTGGCATGCTTGGTTAAAAGATGCCTGACATGCAAACACCTCTTTTTTTTTCTCACTCTTTCAGTGGGGTAAACCTGCTCTGTAGAACATCATAAACCCACTCTTCAGGCATGGTTCCTGGTTTTCCTCTTGATCAATTTCTTCATCAAAACCAGGTTGCTTTAGACTAGGAGTGGCTGGAACACCCTTTCCTTGTGAACCTTCTTTTCCTAAGAGCCTTTCTTGGTCCTGAGTGAAAGATTGTACTCTCACAGTTGAATGTATTAGGCTGATGTAAGTGACAGGCAGAGAAGGAAACATTGTCATTGTGGACTTTAATGCTGCCAGAGAGCAGGTGGAGACAAAAGAACAACACCGAGAGCCTGTCCCTCACATAATAGTTGCACAGGTAAAAGCAAATTCCTCGTAGAGCCTACATCACTAACATTGTCAGATCTTGCCCCTAAAACAAGAAGTTCAACTACTTCCTAATGAAAGCCAAGACAAAAATAGATTCTCCCCCCTCAGTAAAAATGGGAATTCACTTACAAGGTCAGTGCCCTCCTAGAAAGCAGGGGACACGCGACCCACTCTAGAAACGTCACTCAGATACAAACCTTAATTGCTCTGAGTAATGAAAAATTAGCCTCTGTTAGAGTGATCATTACACCATCTGCTGCTGTCTTCTCTTATGGCTAGAGAGGAAATCAGTAGGATGCTTAATATTGTGGTATCAGTCATTCCTACATATAATTAATGGTACTTCAGCAGCCAGCTAATCCAGACACAATTACTTACTTCAGCTAGACTGAAAGCAGTAGAGCTCAAAAAAAGCTTTTTAGCACTAGCATAAAAACACATAGGCTTGCAGCTGTTCCTTCATTAAGGTTTTGAGCCTTGTTTCCCCTGCAAAACATGTCTGGAACACTCCAGAAACAAGTTGTATTCACACTGGAAAATAATAAAGATAAATTGCAAAGAAATTGATCTATTCTTTACATAAATTGTTGCTTTATGAAGTACCAAACTTCTCAAGTGAACAAGTCAGTTTCTGCTGAGTTGAGAATTACTACTGTAATTTCTACACAAAAAAAAATAGCCCAGCCTGTCTTCCACACTGGAGAGCAGAAGTGAGCAGAAGGGAGTGTAATGCATACAAAGGTCTCCCTCCAGAATGTCAAGAGAGGAAATGCTAGTTCTTAAGGCCTGTGATTATCTTGCTGCTTGACATCAATGATCTGGGTTTCAGGGGGAGCGGGGAGAGGGGGAAGCTTATTTGGTTTTGCCATATGCTCCTAAAAGATTAAGAGGCAGAGGAGTTCAATATAACAAGAGTTTAAAAATACCATGAGAAATATGAAGTTATTAAGCCATTTTCAACCACTATAAGGGGACTGACAGAAGGCACACAAGCCTAAGTTTTGCTTCAACACGTTCAGTAACTGACTCTTCAATAGGACTGAGATAATTTTGCATTCTTCAGGGAGAAGAAAGATTTCCATTAGCAACAATTCTCACATTCAATTCCTTCAGTTTAAGAAAATAGAAAAAGGGTATATTCTAAATTCTCCTGAATTACCTAGAAAGGGTTAAAGACAACTAAAGTGTTTATCTCCTACCACAGACTGAGATGGATTTAAGTTAAGAATCTGCTTTGCTCACGCTCCATACATAATATACTTAGACACAGTACTTTTATTTGCCCTGTGCTTGAAAGCCGTGGTATCATTTGCTCCCCTCTGGTTTTGGTCTGCTTACAGTGAAAATGTATCTGTCGCCTACTATGTGCATCAGAAACCTCCCTTTTGAATACACTGCATCTCAACTTCACCTACACTGGGGCAACAGAAACAAGTCAGAAGGCTCAGAGCACACAGTCAGTGGGAAGCATTTTGCAGCAGAGGTAAGAGAAGTTCAGATCAGGGAAAGAAACAAAGGATGCTGGGCAGGTCTCACTGTTTCAAAGCGAGATCTTTATCTTGGGTATATGACTGTAAAAGGCTGCAAGGTTCTAACCCAAGTTCTCATGGTCTGGGTATATACTAAAAAAATGCATTGTGCACTGCAAAAAGGATGGACTCTGATGTACTTTCATGAATACGCCACAAGTCAGGGAGTTAGAATTTAGGTTCTAAACTGAGGGCTGGCAATGGGTCACTTGAGTAATTTCAAGCAAATTGCTAGATATTTGACACCTTTGTTCTTCTCTGTAAACCAGGTATATCTTTTAGTTGCACAACATTGCTTCTCTGTCTACTTTTACTCACCTTCTACCCAGTGAAGAACTATTTGTTATCTTTTCTAATCCTAAATTATGGATTTGGGAATAGATTTTGAAAAGCAGTACCAATTGGATATTTACCCCAAAATGAATAAAAGAGAAATCAGTCAGAATAATTTGCTTGCATAACAGCACTTGAGGAATCCATTTCTTCTCTAGTTACATTTAACACCCATTTTTGCATTTTAAACATTGGAGAGCCCCAATAGTGCTAAGGCGTTACTTTTTCAGAAAAATTTACTAGTACCACAGTCAAGATGCCTTGAAACTGAAGTTATCCTCTTCCCCCCGTCATTGCAGGGCGTTGGGGGTGGGGAACGGAGCGTAACTCGGCTACAGCAGGAGTGGTAGTTTCAGGACCTTTTGCTTTTCTCTGAAAAGATCTTACCACTACACCCAGAAATCACTGAAGGATCCCATTGTATTGTCTTAGCCTGAGGTGGCTACACTGGTCCTCTTTAGCTGTGAAACAGAAATGTGAGCATGCCCCAGAGGTTACCATAACATAGTATCTCCTTCTTTGTAGCTGCATGTTGTACATTATAACTCTGAGAAATATCCAGATATAACAGCAGCAATGGACAAAGCGGATGGACTGGCAGTTTTGGCTGTTCTTCTTGAGGTAGGATGCAGGACCTTTTTTTTGTTTGTTTTGTTTAGAATATGCTTTCAATCATTAAGTCATCACAGACCTTTAACATATAAAACTACCTAGATTGTTTAACAGTGCTGTGGCTGAATTAAGGTTCTTCCTTTTCTCTTTCACAAAAAAGGGCAAGATTCCAGCAGCACATACATAAACAGAAACAAATTTTAAGAGAAGAGGAATTCTAAGTATTTCCTCATGGTTTTCAGTAAGTTAACTTCAGCTATGTTAAATTCATTTTTGCATTCATTTACAAACTAAGGATTGGCAGTTTATCAAACAATAGACAACAGTGAATTTCAAGCTCACTTACTCAAAACTACCCATTGTAGCATGAAGCAGTTTTAACACAGCAGAGAGGCATAGGCAGACACAACCCTGGCTTTGGTGACTACATGTAATTACAATTTGACCACAGTCTTCAGGTTGCAAACTTCCCAGATTCTTTGAATCACAGATTACAGTAAACAAGTAAATTCAGTGCCCTTTTTAAGATGACAGGACAGCTTTCCAGTTTTCCCCTCTAAAGCCCCACATACAAGCAATTAAAGATAATAATGATCTGAAAGAAAAATTTTTAGAAGCTTGTACATATATAATTCTCCTTTTTCTTGAGGATTAAAACTCCTCAGTAAGAAAGATAACTATAAAGATGATTTTTAAAAGTGAGGATTTCCTGCAGCATAAAAAAAACTGAAAACACCCAGGTTTTCGCATTTCCATCAAAAAAGTGAAAATGTTCTAGTTAGCAGAAAAAGCTCTAATTCTCATTAATATTATCCAAGTTCACTTCCTAGCAGCTCTAAGACTTTCACAATAATTTTGTGTTAAATTTCAGTTCATTTGGAAGTTGCAGCTGTGAAAAGTGTCAGAGTATTGTATATTATGCTAGGGAATAATACTGGGATTCTGGTTATTTCTAAGCAATGGTGTTTAAAAATCAAATAGGGGAACAATGGAGATTAGGTCTTTCAAAAACTTTCAGACAGCTGGTGGCTATTACAGTTGATCTAAGGACACCGGTTTACTATGTCTGGTTGTCAGAGGAGTTGCTAATCACCAACTCTAAAGTATTCATAAAAAAGGCATTGCTTATGAGACTGAAAAGCTACTGGTAGCAGTTGAAAATCATGGTCTTGTTTGATAGTTGAGTTATAGCCCTTGCCAGATAGTCGAGTTATAGCCCTTGCCAGTGTCCCTGTGGTACCCAATAGTGTCATTCTTTATCTTCCTGGACTGTGAAGAGGAGCAGACTAAGAAATGTTTGTGGGTGGAAAAATGCAGCTTTGACTAGAAACCAGTAGATGACCTGAGAACCCTGTCAGTTGAGACCTTATGCCTGCAATGTTCTCAAAAGAAATGGTTTCTCTTCATCTGCACAGCATGCTGAACAGGCAAGGGGAATAGGGTCCTTCAAGTGCTCACAAGAGGTCTACACTGCAGTTGTTAGATAGTATTATGACAAAGCAGCCCTAATAGCTCTGGAAGCGAGTAAGAGTGTTATTGAGGTTCTGAGGATAGTGTTAATGTTTTGAGTAAAAAGAGTATTTATGCCATTCTAGTATATGAATATCTGGACAGCAGAGACACTTGCCTTTTGGCAGAGGCCACCAAATACTGCTGTCCGCTGTGTGCAGAAGCAAAGACTCATTCAGACTGCGGTGATTTGCACAGCTGTTAAAAGTCTGCTCATTACAGATTGGACCCTTCAACCCATCCTACGAAAAGATCTTCAGGCACTTCCGGAACGTGAAATACAAAGGTGAGTGGCTATAAACCTGCATTGGATTGCGAATGGCTAAGAGTATCAGATGTCACCCTGAGAGGGATCGAACCAGCTGAAGAAACAGTCCAGAAATCCCAGACAAATCTGTCACAAACTGTGAAAGACTTATAAATGCAGTGCATTTCTGTGAAGAGTGTATGGCTAGCATGTACCATGTGTTTCTGACTGGGCCTTATTTCTTGCACATGGTGTATTTTGGTTAATATGGCCACAGTTTACGTTATAGAATTCTGATTTGGTATCTAAAAAAAGATTCCTACATAGGAAACCTAGAAAGCTGTATTCCTTATTAAATTGGGATCATCTCTGTTAAAATGTATTTTTCTTTTCCTAGTGATATGACCAAAAACATCCTACTTACTGAAAAGCAAATTCACTTCATTGATACACTACCTGTGTAGTAATGACACAGCATTTAACATGAATCACCTATTTTAGATCAGATGGTCCAAGTCCCTGGTTTCAATATTCAAGAACTGCTTCCTGACAGACTGGATGAGTATTATCGCTATGAAGGATCCCTGACAACTCCTCCTTGCTACCCTAGCGTTCTCTGGACAGTTTTCCGACACCCCGTTAAAATTTCACAAGAGCAGGCAAGTTTAAATGCAGCACATGTTTTCCTGATTGGTGTCTGCTAAAGAACAGTATATGCGTATTCTCATTTCCTGGATTTCTCTTACGTTCCTGTAAAACCGAAAGATGACCATTGCTAAAATCCCTTAAGTGGGAAGAAGGGCACAGAACTGACATAAATCAATATCCTGTTCTGCTTCTAGTTAGCATGTTTTCAGTTGACCAGAATCAATGAAGGACCAACAACTGTGTAGCAATTGGTATAGTATCAGCTTGAAAAATCACAGTCAAGTGAGATTATCTTCTGTTTTCACTATGTACTTACTTCCTGCTTTGAGTCTCTCCATGAGTCACTTCCAGAGCATTTTTGTTCAGGCTTCATGGCTGAACCCTATTCACTAAGTATTTTAGTGCTACTTTGATCCTGGACTGACTTAGGTATGACAGGTTGGGTAGATGTTGTTTCTAAAAAGCATGTGATGTGTTACTTGTCAATCTTGAATGCCCTGGCTTTTCTCCAGCTTATGTTTTTTGTGCTCACCTGATTAATTTTTTTTGTTCTTAGGTGGCCACTTACATAGACTATAAACTCCCAATCACTATGTTCTGATTCACCTAATTGTAAACACAGGGGAAAAAATGTTATTATCAAAATCTCTGATCAAATTACTGCATGCTCCTTGTTATGAAAGTCCATTCTTAACTTTGTCCACTCTGCCAGATCATGTCTTTACCAAAGTAGAGAGGTCTTTCATAAAGTAGTTTTTAGTACTGCTTAGGAGTTAGACTGTGCTACGGAGAACATGCTGCAAAGGGCCACCATGTTTCCTCCCATCCATTTTTCCTGGTGGATAATTACCAAGTAGGATTAATCTTATCAGGATGTAAACAAAATATAGGTATGAGTTTGGAGATGTCACACTGTTTACACATTATTCTGTATTTGGACTCACAGGTCACACAAGACTTCAATATTACTTAATGTATCCTCTTCCCTTTGACTACCCCTTTGATTTCAAACACACACTCTCAGTAATCATACACTGGCAATGCTTCTTCCGTATTCTGGGAGCTGAACAGGGTGCTTCCCTTTATAGTTACTGGCACTGGAAACAGCCATGTACTGCACAGAGAGTGATGACCCAGAACCCCTGGAAATGGTTGATAACTTCCGAAACGTTCAGGAATTTCATGAAAGACTGGTTTTTATCTCCTTCCGTGAAGGTAAGTTGTATGAATGCCTCTATGCAAAGACACAGTGCACAGTGATTTGTGTAAACTTGAAATACTGAAGTGGCAGTCCCGTTGCACTGTACCACTACAAAAATCTAGCAATCTTATTTTCCCACAGTTCACTTTGTTCCCTTTTCTTCTCTTACTGCGTTGTTGCATGGGCAACTGTACGAGAATAAGGTATTCAGAGAGTATATAGGAAGGTTTTTTTTCCACAATGGGTATCAGGCAAGCCCTGCAACCCTTCTGACCAAAGACAAGGAGATAAAAGAAGGAAGACATGTTTGGCCTTGTCATGCTTAGCAGAAATACCTGCTGTCACTCCAAACACTAAACAGTTCTCTACAGCTGAGCTGTTTCAGTCAGCATAAAGTGCTTGAGCTGGCCTTGTCTCACCAGCGACATTTGCTGGTTCTCAGCAATATCAGGATTGTTTTTATGCAGACCACACATCTAAAGGGAATCACAGCTTTGCCTTTCAGGGAGTCTGGTTTTGGGAAATTACATAGAATCCTTGAGGAATTAAAAATCAAGAAACAAAAATAATTCATAACACTGGATTGTATGATCCAGTGTTACAAGTGAAAAAAAAATTTGCCATCTTATGAGGAAGAACAGATTTAAAAGCTTAATTATACAGTGTTACACAATGACAGTGCATAGGTTTGGGGCGCGAGTTGTGCACAAAAACCTGCATCTGTGGTGAGAAGCTTAGCTGTGCCCCACAATAAGGCATTCGAGTATACTGTTTGTGCAAAATGTATTGTTCCAATTTCTGTGTTGTCTTGCAAACAAATACCCTTAAGCAGTTGTGAAGCTGGCACATACACTGAAGGCAGATGAATCTAGGCAAGCCTCTACACTATTTGAAACTGGGAGTAAAAGATTTTTAAAAGAAAAAACAGACTTCACAAAAAAGACTGGCCAAGCAGTGAACTTTCAAATTAATAAAACGTGTTAGCACATCATTTCAACTTTGCCTGCTAGTTTCTTCACTGTTTAGATGAAAGAACGGAAAACACAGGAGTTGTCTATATTGGGAAATTTCGCACAATAGCCACTGCAGGGAACAGTTCTCCCTGCAGGCATACTGCAGTAGCTGTTCTTGCCATTCCCCTCAGCAGACAACCCCTTTCATCATAATATATTTTTTCTAATATAAAGCTATAAAGGAGAAAAGTGAAAATTAGAGATCAGCCAAAACAAATCCCAGCCAAAACATTTCTCTGAAATCAGAGAAGATTTAGATTTGCCACCAAAAGTTGGCTGGTCTCTGTCAGATTAGCTGCATCAAAACTCCCAACCAGAACACTGTGGAGCATCAGCAGCATGTGGCCCTTATTTGAAGCAAATCTCCCATCTTTGAGATAAAACCCAGAGACAATTTCAGAAGTCATTCTGTGGCTGGGGACCATCTCAGTTCTCATGGAAACATTTTAAAATCTTTCTAAAGCTTCCCATAAGAGGAACACAATTCTACCACGAAGTTTCTTTTGAGTGCCTTCTCTGGAATTATTGCACATAACTTAGTAATTATTTAAATAAGCATGTTGATGCTACTGTCCTTGCTACTTAAGCACATTTCTCTCATTGAGTTCTAATGATTTAGTTATTCATTTCTCTGTATTTTTACTGGAGTAAAAAATATTTAACAGCTCTGAGCTGACTGACTATATGGCTTGAACCACAAGCCATGACTTCCCATTCTCCAGCTCTGCATTAAATCTCTGCATTTCATAATCTCCAAAGCTTCAGCGACAAAGGCTACATCTCCTTAACTGCAGCATCTCCTGACTTTTATTTTATTAACCATTCTATCTGCAGTTAACATAGTGGATCCTTAGGAGAAGGCTTATGGACCAGGTATATGAAGAAGGGCAGACTACAGTGCTAAAGGCAATACACAGTTTTCAGTGCAGTTCAGGGATCCAAAATACCTCAGGTTCTCATTTCTGTACACTCAGCAGAAAGCTACTGACTAGAAAACCAACTATTTTAACTTGCAGCACAGAAGGAGGGGCAGCAATTTAAGACGAGATGGGATACTTCCCAATTTTGAGGTGCAGAGAAACAGCATAACATATCCTTTTATTTAAAGTATGATTAAGGAGCTGAAGATGTTACACCTGATAGGTTAAGTCATCACTATATGACTTTGTACTTTTTACTGAGCATCTTGAAAGGTGCTCAGGTTCTCAAGGACCCTCCTGTGTGTACACAGCTTCCAGTTTGTAAATAAAGGCCTAGAACAGTGACTTTCCCCCAAAATAGCTGAGTAGCTTTCATCTCCCACCCTCATTCTGGAAGCTAGAAATGCATTCATTCCAGATACCTCAAAAAAAGGTCCCCAAGCCTGTTGAGACTACAGTGCAAAGCTCTGTAAGCATCCACACTAGTTCTTTGCAGTCAAGCAGCTGAAGCATTTTTCTGATTTTGCTGTCATTTCTCCATTTGTCTCCTTGTTTCTTTGCTGCCAAATGTATCTTACCGTCTTTCCCATTACTAGCACCAGATAGCTAAATATTTAAGCCTAAACTAGCTTAGTTTAGTTATACCCTTCTTTTATTTAGCACTACCATTTCTGCTTTTGAATTACTGCTGAAAGAAGTTACTCTGATAAATTGTCTTTTTTCTCATTTTAATTTGTTTATAGTTTGAAGCCCAGTTTCAAGGTCTGACTAAAACAAAATACTGAGTACTGTTGGCTACCAAAATTTTGCGTCAGTCTGCATCAGCTCACATGTTAACAAAACATAAGATTTTTCCCTTTCTTAAGGATCATTAATACCTTTCTGCTATGCATGATGAAGAGTCTCCTCAATCTCTGTTCATGTGTAGTTCTCTGCACTAGGCAATAACCTAAATCTTACTGCTTCAGTCAAGAACAAGTAACAGAACAACCTCCCTATCAATTTATCAGCTAAGAAAACTGATTTGTTCATATTATACTGGTAACAAGTGGAAACCTTGTTTCTTGACTGTAATATGACCTGTGTCAAAAAGTTATTTCTGTGACTATATACAACTCACATAGGGCATACACAAGTCACACTTGGGATTTTGCTGGTTCTGTTCCTTGATTTCTCATTGTATACTATATAAAGCCATAGTCATAATATTCTATTCTATGTTCAAGCCTCTTATCAAGTCCCTATGCTGCCACTTGCAGAGTATAACAGTTACAGAAAAATGCCTCAATTTAATCTCATTTTAAAATAAGAATTACATTAGGAATTCTTCTGTTGCTAGATTCTAACCAAAATATATAAGAAAATTACAGGTTTACCAAATTGTCAACAGTCCTTAATAGCCCCATGATTAATATACAAACTGGTATTAGTTGCACAAACAGTATTTTGAGTAAATGAAAGGATTGCTAAATAGTGAAAAAGGGAAAGAACTAGAGTATGCCAATCCTTTTTCTGCTTTTATGGATTGGCCAGCTAGAAATATCCCTCTCCCCCATGGCATTCTCATATGACCAGGAAGAGGGTTAAAACTTTCTTCCCAAACCTCCAATCTCAAACACCAGCTGCCAGCTAGAGAACTAGTTAGGTCCAGAATGGCTATTTTAGTAATCCCCTTCAAATCTCTGCTCAAGTCAGATTATGTACAATGATTTTAAACAGCAGAATCAGGATTTGCAATATGGCTGCCAAGTTTCTGAGACTGTAAAGCTTCCTCTGCAGGGTCTTTCTTAAATCCATGCACAGACAATCTACTATAGCAATGCCACTGCAGAAACACTTACTGAAGTAATGGAAGTTCTAGAGTGAGCAGGTACCTTATGTTTAAGACCGGTTCACCATGGAATCCTAGAGATCCAACTTTT